CTTTAAAGAAGAACTATCACCATTATTATCTTCACTAGGTCCTTTAGCATGTGATGGATTAGATACTGTTGGAATACTTTTTTTAAAATCTTTATCGAATGTTGGATGTAAATCCATTTGTTTTTCAAAACAGACTATTAAATTTCGAACAGCTGCTTTTTGAGCACCAGCAGTAAGATGAATGAACTCTAGTTTTGTTAAATCAAGTTCTGCTTTACTAAATTCACAAAATATCTCTTCATGATTATAGATAGAATTTGAACCCGCTTGACGAAGAATAACTTTACCACTTGAACGATGAATTTCAAGACAATATGTTATAAAATCATCGGTATTACATCCAATATGGAATGTATTTGATTTAGCCTTGTACTGATTTTTACTTACGAATACATGATGTTGAATAGGCTGACCATAATTTAAATATGTAGCCTGTTCATAATAACTAGTATCATATGATGCACATTTAGGCGCTATATAACAGATCAAACAGCGAAGATTTGGTTGATGTTTTTCACTTAACTCTATCGGTTCATTAGATAATGCTAACATCATATCTCCATTCATGACTTGCCAATAGATATAAGCTATATTTTCAGCTGACGGTTGATGATGAACAATACGATGTTGTTCATAGGCTTGTGAAATAGTTAGAGGTAAAACAAAACTATCATTGAAATTGGTTCCAGGTATTGTCATAATAGTACCTCGAATAGGTCTTGCTAGTGGATAGTGAATATTCCGATCATATCGTTTCATCAATTCTTCCACAACATAAGACTGATAATCAGTCCGTTCTTTTGATGAAGGCGTCGGACCAGTTGGACCCATTGGTTGATTAGCTTCACCTTGATGTGGTGTAACAGTAATACTATGTTTGAAAACAGCATTGATTGCTTTACGTGTATCAAAATTGAGAGAATCGAATATGTTTTGTGGAATATAAATATGATCTATATAGTCAAGTGGTATGAGTTGAGGTAAATGTGCTTCAATATTTTTATGTGAATCAGTATGGATCCAACGCTTAAGAATAGTATTAAGATCAATATCTAAAGATTTTGATTTTAATGTATAGCTTGTAAGTGTCATTAGTTCTAGAGCCATTGCATAATCATATCCAGGAATCGAAGCATGTAATTTTGAATTATGATATAAGTTGATTCTTTCTGCTTGTGTTCCTGGATCATCACCTAACCATGGACGCCATTTGTAAGCATTTCCACTGCTAAATGATGTTGCTGCTTGAATAGAAAAATCTGCATCAGGATGATGAAGAACTTCTCGTTTAAAAACAATAAATACATCCCCATAATAATGTCCTAGGTGAGGTCCGAGAACACTAAAAACATGTTTATCAGTGCCTAAGGCTTTGTCAGGTAAATGACCAATTCCAGCTGGATTCGAGTGAAGTTTAATTGAGGCTTGCGCAATTTCAATTGCTTTTGTTTTTAATGCACTTATATCACTTTGAGGTATTGTAGTCAATAAAATTGTTTCTTTCGTTTTGATGATATTGGCATGGGATGCAGAACGTGGACGAGATGGATGGGGTGAGGCCACACCTCCACCTAGTGCTGATAGAGGTGGAAAGTTAGCTTTCTCAAATTCATCACTAACTAGAGCAGTAATATATTCTCTAGCATGTTGTTCATATTGTGGAATATGTAAGTTATCAATACGACGTATTCGACTATGTTGCATAATAGAATTAGCAACGAATTTCGGTTTTTTTAAATGTTCCATATAATCTCGGCTCATGACATGCCCATGAAGTAGAATTGATTCAAATATAATTAGATTACATCGATGTACAGGTTGAACAGTGCGGAACCAGTCGAGAATTGCACGTGGAATAGATCCAGATGGTAAAAGTTTCCAATTGTGTTTTTTGACATAATCAAGAATACGAGTAACACTATTACTTTGATTTTGTACGAAATTAATATTTTTATTCAAAGCATCATAACGTACAATTCCACTATCCTCGTAAGTTACTGCGTGACGAAATTTGATAGTATGATCCAATTTATTACGATCGTGACACTTGTCAGCATAGTTACACATTCGTCGAATATCAGCAATATTGGGATGTGTAAATGAATTTAAATGTTCTTCTTGATTAAGTTTTTTGCATTTGTCACCATAGGAACAAAGACAACGAGCTATGTGAATAGATTTTTCCCAATGCAATGGATTATTATCAGTGCAATTGCGACCGAATCGACAAACATGAGCATATTCTAGGCAATGTTGCTGAATGTCTTTCGGCAAAGTTTGAATATCACTAGCTTCTGAAAAAGCAATATAAGATGGACAATGAAATGGAGTGCGTAAACAAGGAGCGGCAAAAGGATGTTGTGATTCATTTATATGTTTCTTATTATGGAAATTAGCACAGTAGTTTCCATACGAACAGCGAGGTATACAGTGACGACATTCATCGCAATGTTTTTTAACATGCTTCTGATAATCGATACATTTCTGTCCATATTTACACAATGGTAAATGACGGTATTCTTTTAAATGATCACCTTCCATGTTTTGACAAGAACCTCCGTTTGGACAATACGATGGATGTTCAAATTCTTGAGTATGTTTTTTATCATCGATATTTCGGCATTCAGCACCATCTTGGCATTGATTTCGATGAAGAAATGAAATCATATGAACAGTATCAGTTGTTAAATCACATTTACCAGTAATAGCTGCATTGGTACAAAAAGGTGGATGAGAAAATTGACGAATATGATTAGTGTTATAAATATCGCTACATTTAGCTCCAAATTTACATGGTGTTAAATCAAAGATACAAACATCAGCAACAGTCAATGCATCAGTGAAAAGTCTATAAGGACCAAACATTATATTTGCTTTGTTCATTGGCATCATGGGTTTTGCAGTTTTTTCATCCAATATTGCTACAAATGGTTTGAAATTACCTTCAGGATTTAATCGTTGTCTTGCATTATGATCATCAACAATAGCAAATATAATCGATTCAAAAAAGCCTGCATATTGATCAATAACAGAAGAGAAAAGTTTTGTAATATGAGTAGGTGGATTGTGAAACGCACCACAACCAAAAGCCGATAAAACAAGACTATCATGTTTATGATAATAGGCAATGGCAAAAATGTTTTCAATTTTTTTCCGTGTTCCAACAGCGTATTTTGATGCCAATACATTTCCCTCTAATTTAGGGTCTCGATAAGCGGCCATTGCTATAGCGCAAACATTTTCTAGTGGTTTTTCCATATAATCATAACCAGTGTCTTGAGAATGACGAAAAAAAGTTAATCCTGATGTGTAAATAGCTCCATATTCATCCATTGGATACATAGTTTTCAGGTCAGAAAGAGATTCAAGTTGACCATTAGATGAACAATAAAAACGTACTGATTGCTCTGGTAGAAAATCATCGAGACCAATATCAAGACTTCGAAAATAATCAGATCGTCGGAAAAGATTTTCTTCTTGTGCTCCATCACCTTTACGAAATCCACCACCTGGACTAGTTCCACTAGCCATATTGAGAAGAAGTGGTCGTTTGCCTTTTTTTATTAACTTTTCATAGACAGCCATACAATCCTCGTTAACTACGTAAATTGTTGTTTTAGGATAAGGAGTAGTTACTAAGGGTATCTTTCTACTTTTTTCTAATTTCGATTGGTGGTTATAAACGATTGTTTTGATTTTATTATTCAAATTCAATTTTATTTCTCGATCTCCTATCAAGTAACGTTTTTGGCGTACAATACCAAGTGTATTTAACATAACTGTCACTTGAAGTTGATGTCGAAGTTGATCGATTGTTGTACCTTTTTCACTGCCTCTACCTTTAATATTATTAGCATGGTGTTTAGGTGACGTTGTATGTTGCCATTGGTCAAGCCATATTTTTGAATTCCACTTATAACGAAAAATAACATGTTCAGGATTGACAATGAATTGCATAATGTCTGGCTTATATTTAGGCATTTCTGTTTCATACCATGTATCAGCATCAATTTCACTTTCTTCTGGATTCTTTGAAGTAATATATGCTTCCATATAAAATAAAGACTTATCACCAATACGAAGAGCTCCATGTTTGATACAATCGTCAAAAATATTCTTATCCAATATTTCAAGAATAAGATTTTCTCCACTATGTTTATGGTTTATTATTTTACCAGCAAGTTTTTGGTGGTTGATTATAGTTTGAATAGAAAATGTCTGTGGAACAGGATGAATGAGTAGATGACATGTGAGATTATTTTTCTTTGATATTGGTTTACCATCTAGAAAAATATAACTTATTTGTGACCATTTTCGTGCTGTATCAGTGGCAAGAATACATGCATTGCGAGTTTGTTTATTTATTTGAATGTAAAGAGATGATGATGAAATGTGTGATAGTTTACTAGCATTAATAATAGCGGCTTGTAATTGTTCTTGTGTAATTGAACGAGTTAAATCTTCAAAAAAACTACAATCAGCACAAAGAAAGATTCGACCAAATTGGTTTTTGATATTGAAGTCTTTATGATCAATTTTATTTAGTAGTTCGTCTAGTGATGCAGAAACAATACGATAAATATTAGGAAATTGAATATTTAATTGATCGCAAACGAGTGGTTTTTCTCCTTTGTGCAATTCCATCCAACGACGACTGATCTCTTCGACTGTTGGTAATACAAGATCTTTTTCTTCTTTTTTCATCTCTATTACAATATAAGAAACAAGTTCCAGTGTATCAACAAAGGATATCATATCTTTTCCTTCTTTTGGATGCAGAAGAAGTTTGACAACATCATTGATAAGATAATCTTTTATTTGCTTGTTAGAGACATATACGACACCAACGCCTAAATTCGAGTAACACTTTACGCTACTTGGTTCAATGTTCAGAGTTTTTTCAACACGCTGACGAATCAAACTTTCTAGCTGATAATTATCTTCGATGTCTAGAGGCAAATCAGAAATGTAAACTGGTACCTGATGTTGCTGATGCAATGGTGTAGAAGAAGTGGATGATGGTGTTTTTACTTCAGATGACTTCAGTTTCGTATTCGTAGAATAGACTGCTTCTAACGATGCCGTACTTTTTGTGTGTGACGTCAATGCTGAGTCAATATTAGATAAGGATGATCGGTCGGAAGCTAACTGGAAGGACGAGGGACTTTCGCCATCAATTTCAGTATATATATTTGGTACTGTATTGGAAGATGCACTCGATGACAATGATGAATGATGTATCGATTGTAAAGTTTTATTTGATCGTGGAGGTGTATGTCGATTTTCTTTTCCAGATGATTTTGCTTGCTTACATGTCATGCAAACTGTAACTGAACTTTGATTAAGATAATCACAATTGTCACATTCCCATTCAACATTCTCCTGTTTATTCAATGTTTGATCATTCTTTTTTACTCTCATTGTCGTTTTATCCTCATGACTCTTTTCTGGTACAGCATTTGAATGATAATGATGATAATTTTCGTTTTTCTCTCTTTCGCTGACAGTAGTAGAAAGAGACTGATTCGTTACTGATGCTGAAGATGCATGATCGGTCTTTTCGTTCTACCAATTAAAGAAACAATCAAAGTTCGCAAGACTTATACAATATGTTGTTTGCTTTTGTCAGTCATCCCTTTAGTTTCCGTTCACTCAAAAATGATGTTAACATTCGATCTAAAATTTAGCTTAATCTCAGATTCACATAAGTCAAGATTTCATTGATGAAATAGAATAAAGAGAAAGTATCCTTAGATGTTTGAGATAAATAACTTTAATTTTAGACTCCCACAAGAGTTCGATGATACATGAAAAGCCTAAACAGAACTTTTTGTTAACATTTTCTTTTGGAGTTGTGATCTCTCATAGAAGTTTGGACTTATTGCAAGGTACTAAAAATATTAAATGACATACAAAAAGTTTGCAGTACTCTAGAAATTTAAACCATATAATTGCAAGCGTAATTCTTAATTTATTATTTAAAAAAATTCGTATTCCTCGAAATAAGGGATATGAAAGATCAGTTCGCTCCTGCCAATAAAGCTATCCCCATGTGAAGATCAGAGTTGGGATAGTGATACGACAGATAAGCTTCTCTTAGACGAGCACTGACAGTTGAAGCTTATATAGTTGAGGCCTCATCAATTAGTTAAAAGAAAATATAAAATCAAGATCAGGTCACATAATTCAATACGAAGGAATGCATGCAATCATGCAACATTTTATTGTGTTGATGATTCGTTGGTATTCACTTTCATATCTAATAGAATCATCTTTACAGATACGAATTGGGGAAGTAACAGTTTCAATTTCATACTGATCAACTGATACCAGTTCACTAGTCACCTAGTTAATTAGGTACCCAAGTTAAGTGAGTAGCCAAGTTAATTAAATATGCAGGTAACTAATATTCAATAAGTTGGTTCCGAAGCATTTGATTTTTTTCCAAATCAATTTAATTAAATTACCTGAAGGATACTCTCTTCTTTTCACTTAAGGGGGGGGTCGGGGCGAGCCAAATGCTCTTTTAATAGGCTCATTAAATAGAGCAAAGTTTTTTACATATACTCTGAAAGTTTTACATCTTTTGGTTCAAATTTGACCGAGTTATGAGATATCAGAAAATCTAGTTTTAGTCAAAAATGGGTCTTGGGGTTGGCCCCATGTTTCTCAAATTGTGACCACAAAATAAAAGAAAAATGTAACTATTTTTATATCAAAAGATAGAGAAAAAAATTCTCTATCGACTGCATATAAATTCAAAATGATAACGAAAACTTTCTGTAATACTTATGGTTCAAATACTGCATAAATTTGTCATATTTTTCATGTTCCAACCACTTTCAGTCGTGTTTTTAGGATTATATTCCTATGAAAAAGTTTTTTATTACTAACCATTCGATAGAGAATTTCAAGCGCTACAACTTTGCTATTGATCATTTTTTTTTATTTTTCTTCTTTAAAATAGTAGAGATCAATCTTTGATCATTGTTCGGAACATATAAATCTTTAAAAAATCATGAAACTTCAAAAATTTTATTACAAATATAAAGAACTCATAGAATTTTAATTTATTCTGTTCAAATAATCATAAAT